CACACACACACACACACACACACACACACACACACACACACACACACACACACACACACACGAAACAACGAGACAGAACTTTTAAGTCAAGACTCCAGAACCTTTGATCATCTGAACAACTCTCCTCCTAACAGAATTTAGGGCGGGGTCACATGACGGAAGAACCCAACCAGAAACTGGACCTGAGCTTTACAAGAACTAGACCTGAATCCAGTCTGACACTGGATCTGGAACTAACAAAATCTGGACCTGAACAACGGGAAAATAAAAACAGACCTCGAAACAGCCATGAACTGGATCAGAACCAGTTAGAAATCTGAAGCTAAACCAGAACCCAGGGAAAATATTGGACCAGAATCTGCCAACAAGATAGCTACAATGTATCAAAATGATGGCTAAAAGTAGCAAAATGACAGATTGAAGAAACTAAATTTGCAATATGATAGCTAAATGCATTAAATTTTTAATATTTATAAAATTTTAGTTAAAAAGAGCCAATTGATAGATATATCAAAAGTCTAGCTTAAATTAGTAAAACCGTAGCTAGACACTTAAGGCACTAAAAGGCTAGTTTAAGGCTTCAAACAGCAGGTAGCTACATGCTAAAACTAGCATAAGGAGACAAACAGCCTCTGACTCAATGGTCACAATAATGATCTTGTACCCTGACCAATCAGCTGTCAGGACAGTTTTGTGGGCGGTACTTTAAGTTGATTTAAGAGAAAAACTGGAGGTTTAAACTGTTCTTTGTTCTAACACCTGCAGGTGTGCTCTTACCTGAATCTCAGAGGCTGACATGTAGATGGCCAGAGTGATGAGTGACAGGACCAGTATGATGTAGGGGAAGGCGTAGTCTGGAACACACAAAGCACACGTGTTAAAGCACACGTATTAAAGAACGTGTTGTTAAAAAACGTGTCGTTAAAGAACATATGTTGTTAAAAAACGTGTGGTTTTAGGACACACAGACTCACACAGCAGCCCGCCGCCCACGGCCTGCAGTACGGTGATGATGGGGAAGAAGTAGAGCGCGGCRTAGATGCTCCTGAAGCGGTCCGACTTCCCCAGGCCACACGCGATCCTCTTCACCAGCAGGGGGCGGAGCATCATCATCATCACCAGGCAGAAGGCGTAGTAGATCAGCACGATGGTGTAACTGAACAACACACAGCAACACGACTCCTGATTGGTTCAWTTCACCCGAGGACAGCTGCACAGCAGGCTCCGCCCCCACACTTCACACTCTGTGTGTTTTTAGCGTGTCCGGCGTGTACTCACAGCGGGTACACGGCCTCCTGCGTGCAGTGCAGAGTGTTGATGTAGTCCGGGCTCGGGTTGTACAGCATGGTGTACCAGTCCGACAGCTCCTTGACCTGGCAGGACCGGATGCTGAGGTTCCCCATCGGGTCGGTGAGCAGCAGAGTGACCACCGCCGACACGCCGCACTCCAACATGGCGGTGACGTGCTGCAGCAGGGCGCTGGAGCTGCGCACGCACACACACACACACACACACACACACACACACACACACACACACACACACAC